GAAAATGTCCATGCTGTGTGCTTGCAAACAGCTACCCCATCACTCTTGTCTGCCCAGCCTCAAGTCAGACACCACAGTAAAAGTCATTGGGGTGGCAGGTGCGGAAGGGAGGCGACGGCCATGGCCACCTGTGCCCCGAGGCCCGAGGGGCAGGGTCCCAGGGGAGGCGGACAGGGGCGGCGCTCACAGCCTCTGCCTGGGCCCCTGATGAAGACTCAGGCTCTCCTTGTGCTCAGAGGTGGCGCTTCGGGCATCCCCGCCCTGCCTTGGAGCATCAGTATCGCCTCTCACGGGGATTGTCGATCACTCATAGCTCCCACCATGAACTGGCCTGGATTTCTGGCCCCAACTTCAGAATGAGCTCCTTTAAAACCATTTCATTATTTTTAATGCCATTTTTTAAGACTAATCACTGACAATGAGAAGAGTTTAAAATAGAATTTTAGGCTTTCAGATTTTAATGGCCCTAGAAAAACCCCATTGTTCACTCGGAAGCAGCTGCATACGTCTAAAAAATCGCTTGGAGATTTGGCAGGGTTTCTTACGGAATTTGAAGCTCAGCAAAAAGTTAAATTATCCTTGAAAATTTCCCAAATGCTCAGGAACTAACTTCCAAGGAAATTTTGCCCATTCAATTAATTGTGCGATACCAGCTTTCTAACAGCAAATGTATGGGGCTGACATTTTAGGTAAGTGGCCCGTGAACGCAGGAAGCCAGGGCCACAGCCCGGCAGCCACCACACGGCCCTGGAGGGACTGCCTGCCTCTCCGTTATCTTCTTTCAAGGTTCAGCCTAGACCAGTGTGCTCCTCAGTGGGGGTGGGGCTGGGGGTGGGGGGCACTCAGGAGTTCCCAGCCTGGCTTTACATGCAACCTCCAGGAGACTGTACATAAAGCCGCGTCACATCGAGTCCCATCACTGACCAACTAATCAGCGAGGGGGTGGGGGCGGCATCGGGAAGCATTCGAGCTCCCAGGGGGTTGTCACGTACAGCCAGAGTTGTACCACGATGCAGAAAATTACATTTAGAAGATCAGAAAGAAAAGATAATACGCGCACATGTCCAAACATGTCCTCTGACAGAAGCATCGACCCACTAGATGGGCTTTGGGAGCCAGAAAGCTGTGCCATGGTATCTCGAAAGTGACCAGGTCAAGTTTGTTCTCCATCACAACTTGGGAACCTTATGGTTTCTAAATAGCACAGTGTAGGGACTTGGTCCTAAAACGGGTCCTCACCCTGAGGCTGGGCAGAGGTCCAGTAGCATCTGCAAAAATAACTCTGTTTCGGTCAAGTTCTACTGCAGTCTGATGGCAAGAGCAGCAGCACGGACCTACAGCTGTGGTGGCTCCTTCCAGCTATCGAACCTTTAACCCTCATGGCAACCCTATGGGCGAATATCTTGACCCCCTTCTTGCAGACAAGGAAATGGGGCTCAGAGACGTTGGGTAATGTGCCCAACACTCAAGTCCAAAATCCAAGTCACAAAACTTAGCCGCAGCCAGCTCCAGGGAAGGGGCGTCAGAATGACCTCCAGCCCAGCGCCCCCTCCGTGGGCTCGTGACTCCTGCTGTTATTAATGGCCTCCTCTCCGCCCCTTTGCTCCCCTCAACTGAGCTGGGCCATAGGAAGGACTTCTCACACTGTCACCTAATTCCTCAGTGTCTGGGGAATCCCATCCAGTCCCCACCTGAGAAGGGCAGTTGGTGAAGTCAGCATCCTAAAGCGTGTGGACAAGGTCAGGAGCCCTATGTGGCATCCCCTCCCCTTCCCCAGATATAAGGCAGGAGCAGGCTGGCGTGTGAGGTGTGTGGGCATGGATCTGACACACCCAAAGGGCTCGCTGGCACCGGCCATGCCCACACTTCTCTGCCTGCTACCAGATGGCAGAGACCAGGTCTGGGTGTGCAGGTGGCAAGTCAACCTCTGTTTGTTGGTGAAGAAGACTACATGGGCCTGTTGAAACCCTCTTTCCTGTGGTTTCTGGCTGGGACAAGAGGAAAATGGCTAGTAGCCACAGGAGGTCGCAGGGAAACCCACAGTGATGTTTTTCCAGGTCTGAGCTGCTGGCAATACATTCAGGGAGGCCCACTTCCTCGTCGGGAGGAGAGTGGGGCTGTCTTAAGTCAGTTACACCCCAATGTGTTCCCACAGCCTGGGAGTTATGTCTGCATTTCCAACCCTAATCATCAGGGCTCTGAGCTCTGATGACTCAGGAAAAACTGTGAGCCTCGCTCCACGGGAGACCACAGCACCTGGCAAACGAGGCTGACGAATAACAGGGTGCCCCACGAAGGATGAGCTATTCTGGATCAGACGCCTGCCCAGCTGGCTCCACAGGCAGCGTCACGCATCACTGTGGGCAGCAGGAGCCACCAGGCTGACGATCCTGAGACCCAGTGCAGCTTTAGGGGCCTGGGAGCCCACACTACAAAGTGAACTGTGAGGATCTACAACTTTTGAAGGGCGTTTCTTTCCTTGATTATCTTACTAAGTGATGCATTTAAGGGCTTTCAACTTTTGTAAGCTTCCTCACCTGGTTCATGCCCTTTCCTCAGCCTGAAAAGCGAGGAGGCTCATCCCTCAGAGCTCAGCAGGATCCCCACCTCTTCCACGGAGCCTTCCCTGCATTCCTGTTAGCTGACCCGCTGAGCCCTCTGGCTCCCACAGCAGACTGCTGGCCCTTGATTACGGCGCCAGCTTGTCCACTGCTTTACTCTGAGGCTCCGCTTCCCCGTCTTCCCTCCACGGCAAGGTCTCCAATGGAAGAGGCACTGATCGTGTCATCAGACAGCAGCAGGACACAGGAAATGCTGGGCTCAGTCACAGCGTGGACCCGCAGGACTACCAGAAGGCAATGCCTCAAATCCACGAACATCCCTACTCCCCAATCACAAGCCATAAAAAGGGTCCCACCACAACTGAGGCTGCCAACACTACATGGGTCCCTGTCTCTTTCTGGAGGTGGAGCAATAGAGATGAAAGGTCATCAGCCTGCAAGACCGCCTCGCTCAGCTCTCTACAGGACATGCCTAAGAGAGCAAAGAAAGGAACTCTGCTTAGAAGAAGGAAGGGTGCCTTCAGCATTTTACACACAAGATGCTAGGGGCTGGGCTTAGGAGAAGGGGGCAGCAGCAGCGCTGGGGTTTGGGAATGAAGAGGGAAAGAGCACGGCAGGCATTCCCCAAGCTGCACACAAGTTGCCCGCCACACTGCAGGTGGGAAGGCCCTGGGGACTCAGGCTGGCTCTAACATCTGGGAGTGCTGTGCCGAGGACATGCAGACACTCTTATACCCAATCACCTAGAGGACACCACCACGCTGGGAACTTAAACTCCTGCTTATAAACTCTGACCTCAAATTTGGCAAGCACAGTCAGCACTAGAAATCCCCCTGCAATTTCCTAATCCTTAGGTGGTGAACACCAGGCTCTTCCTTGAGGAGCAGTGGGTGAGACCTGGAGGAAGCAGGGAGGGGGAGGAGAGGAGAGCAGCCTGCACTCCATGGCTCCCCCATTGGCACACAGGATTCACGCGATCATTTGCACCCATGGCAGCAGGAAACCCTCACTCCCCGTGGCATCACAGCCTCAGAGTGCCGGGCTAGAAGTCACCGAATGCCATCTCAGTCAAGAAAAGAATCCCCTCCAGCATGGGCCTCAGCCCCCACACTCCACTGCCTACAGAAGCCGTACAGATTGGCCTCATTCTCCCTGCTTCATGTCTCCCTGACCTGCACACCCTCTGGGTTCCAGCCAAACCAATAGCCCATCGCTTCCTCCTTAAGCCTTAGTTTGCCCACCTCGATGTCCTCCTCATGCTATTGCCATGGCTCAGAATGTTTCCTGACACTGAGCTGTGACAAATCTCAGATCCGACCTTCAAGGCCCAGGTCCAATGCCCACAGCTCTCTCCTACAGCCAGCCCTTCGTCCTCTCAGCCTCCAGCACACCGCCCGCCTCCCTTCCGACCTGTGTCTCTGTCTCCTTGCTGCACCTGTGTGTGTGCAGGCATGGCCTTCCGCAGAAGGAGCACACAGCCTCTCCATCTCAGGAGTCCTCCCAGCATCAGCACCGGCCCTGCTGAATGAAGGAACGACTGCATGACGTCTGAGGGGCTCCGCTCACTGGAGCTCCCTCGGCTGTTTCTGAGAGGTAGTGCCTAGCTTGGTCTCCCAGGCCTCTCGATGGACATACACCTCTGCAATAGGTTGTCGGTCTTTACTACCAACTATTCTAGATCGGAAACAAATCACAAACATCTTAGTCAAATCCACTGCTAAATGTCAGTACGCACTTTACCCGAGGCACGGGTGGCCCAGGAGAGGAAGAGCACGCCTGTGAGAAGAATCTATGGTAAGACTATGTCTATGGTCTTGATAGACATTGACAATGAATTCCACTGGTCGACTGAGCACTGGGCTTTGTTACTGCAGGAAGTGCTGGGGGTGCCTGGTGTCCGTGTGGGAACCCAGAGGGGTGGGCTCCACAGCAGCCACACTGGCTCACATGCCTCCTAACGCTGCCCAGAACTGGCTTCTTCCCAGCCCCGAATGGGCCAAGCATTTGGCTTCCCCTGGCTGGCACAGGTGGGAGCTGCTTCAGGCAACAGAGGGGTAGAGAGGGCCCCTGCTCTCCAAGTTCCAATGACACTGCTCACTAGGGGGAGGGACCACAGCTTTGTCTCCTGTGATGCAGGTGAATGGGCTCTTCCCACACCTGGTCCCGCTCCGAGGGGCTTACTGAATCCCTGAGGCGATGGGTGAGTCTGTCTGACCCTCTGCCACCGTAAAGCCACGTGACCAGAAACAACTCTAAAACCCACCCCTCGGCAGAAATTCAGAGGCAGGTACATGCACTTGTGCTCTCGGACGTGCAGGCAGAGGGAACCGATGGCTGAGGGGCCCTGGGTCTCAGGCCGGGTCACGGGGCAGGAATGCCTGCTGCCGGGCAGCTCCGCATCGCACACGCACTGGTCAGGAGTGGGAAGGCGCTACATACTATTTCGCTTGCTTTCCTCTCCTCCTTCCTCCTCATTCTCGGGATCAATGTCTTCCGCCTGGGTGATCCAGTCCAAGTAGCCCTTCAGGTCCTCTTCCAGCTGCTGCTTCTCCCGCAGTTTCTGGAAATCGCCCCGGGCTTTCGCCTTCTCCCTTTCTTTTGAGAATTCTCTGAGGGGGGCAAGAGAAGAAGCACATGTCAGGACCCCGTGGGGACCCACAGCCGGAGCCGTCTGCCCTGCGGCACCAGGGGCTCGCGGCAGGACACACGGCACGAGTGCAGCCACATAAGCACAGCAATAGGGCCACACACGTGGACAGACAGGACAGTGGCTTCCCAAGCAAGACTGTGAGTGTGAGAGCTGCAGAGACCACCCCACACACATGCACCCGCTCCTAGCAAACTCCCTCCAGGATTCCAGAGATTCCCAAGGAGCCTGGGCCAAAAGGACCATGTGCCGTCAGGGCAGGCCTGACACCTCCCACCCCAGGGGCCTGACTCAGAGCTCAGAGGTGCCCCCTCCCCGTCCCCCCCTCCCCCCCGCCAGCCCCCTCAGATAGCAGGCATCAAACTTCAAAGAGAAAGGACCCGGGAGGGCCAAGGTGTGGTCAGAGAGATCACCAGGTCAGTGTTTCTGCAATAGTTCCAGAAACATAACATTCCTAATGTGTGCGCCCCTCTGTCCCATACAAGAGCCCTGAGAGGCAGAGCGGTCCGGGCTCCCTCCCACCACCCGCAGGTTCCGGAGAGCAGTGGACAGACTCAGGGGAGACCCGCCTCAGCCCCAGTCCCCCATCCCAGCCAGGAAACGGAGCACTGGTGAGGCACCACGGTTTGCTTAACCCCCTGCTAGCCATGATCTGCCCCCAAGTCTTCCTGCTGGAGGTGAGAGGCAGTGCGGTCTGCTGCCCGTCTAGAGGAGCACCTGCCCTGGAAAGGCTTGGCGGACGTGTCCATGTTCCCAACTGGCCGCCTTCACTCCGCCTTCGTGTCTGTACTCCTACATCTATGCACACACACAGAACCCCGCATTGCTCAGCAAGTCTGAGAGTCAGGTGGACGATTACCCACTCTCATATACAAGGAACCATCTGCCTTTCCAGCCGAGAACTGTTCCAGGAGCCAAGTTATGTGAGTTGCGGATTAATAAGTATCATGAAAAAGCTGCTAAGAAAGATGAGGTTCCAGGCAGCGCAGCTTCCGCACACAGACCCCTGGGTTCCGACCGAGGTCACATCTGCCTGCCTCTGCCTTCCTCCCAATCCAAAGCCAGCACATCTCCCTTTCAGGGGCCTCATTAACCCAACCCCAATGACAAAAGGGAAAAGACCTGCTTACAGACAGCCAACCCCCATTCTCTCTCCTCGCCCCCCTCTCCACTCTGGGCTGTCGAGGGCTGAACAGATATGTGAACAGCCAGTGACGCCGGTACTTCAGATTAGTAACTGGCATCCTTGCCACGGCTTCACCCTCTGCCCAGTTAGAAAGGACACACTCATTGCTCATCACCCACTCTTCTGATGCTCCAGAACCTCTGCTTGGCTCTGTGGGGGCTGGTCCATCCCCATGGTCACCCTCAGGGAAGCGAGGAGGGCAGGACTGTGCTGCCTCCTGGGCCCGGATCCCAGAGGAGCGCCCTCCAGGGGTCAGCAGGAGAGCAAAGGCGGTGAAGACCCTGAGATGGTGTCTGCACTCCCCGCTCAGGGGCCTCTCCTCCCGGGGAAGAATACCTTGTGTCTCAGAAAAGAAGGTGCAAACCATACCCTGAGAAAGGACCCGGGAGGGCCCAGGTGTGGTCAGAGAGATACAGGATGTGCGGAACTCGGTCCTGGGTAGATTCACCAAATTCATGTGAACTTCGGAAAAGCCGCACCCAATCCAGAATCACATCCCTGAACAAGAGGAGGCCCTGGAGCGTCATGTGTCAACATGAAAACATATTATGTAATGTTTTCTTAAGCACACTGTAAGGAACAAGCATGTGGGCCTTCAAACCCATTCTTACCCAGAGCATCCAAGTACAGATCTCTGGGCATGTTCTGGTTCTGAACTTAGAGCATTAAGCATGCACGATTACATACAAACACCATATTCTTATTTCGGTTACATATCCGACCTGAGTTCTTGAAAAAAAAATGACCAAGATAGTGAAAGAGTTATCCTGGATCTCTTACTCTTTGAGGCAGCATGGAAGGACCTGGAGAGTATTATACTAAGTGAAATATGCCAGTCAGAGAAAGAGAAGTATCACATGATCTCACTCATATGTGGAATCCAATGAACAAAATAGATCCAGAGACACAGAAGCATGGAACAGACTGGCAAATCTCAGAGGGAAGGTGGGGGTGGGGAGGTGGATGGGGAGAGAATAACTGGGGAACTTATATGCATATATCCATAGCCCAAGGACATAGACAATAGTGTGGTGAAGGCCTGGGAGGCGTGGATGTGGAGAGGGTTCATGGGGGGGAAAAAGAGGCAACTCTAATACTTTCAACAATAAAGATAAATTTAAAAAAACAGTTACCCTGAAATGTAAGGGAGGTTTGCTTTAATATCATATTTTATAAAGTTTTCTTGCATTAGGAATACAGAAACCCCTCTCTAACAAGCTGCATCACTGTTGCCCATTTTTGGTTGTTGGGGCGTGGAAAAGCATGCATGAGTAAATTTACTATGACAAAAATTTCTGAGAATGAAAAAGACTGCCGGGTCCTGACTTATGGCCCCTTTATTTTAAATAATAATAGTCACTGTTACAAAAGTTCATATAACAAAACATTCACAGTTCTGAAGGGCCGAATACTTAGCAGGCATCAACATTCACTGATCTGGACAGAACTAAGATGTACTGGGCATGAACCTCCCCCTGCCGGCTATGAGGCAGGTGGAGGAGGAGGTGTGGGAATAAACCGGCTGCCCCCTCAGTCCTCCCAGACCACACTGGGCGCTGTGTCTGAAGGCCCGGATGGAGAGCCAGCTCGTCCGCTTTTCTGAGCTTCAGTCTCCTCACGTGCAAAGCAGACACAAGACCTGCTCTACTGGTTCACAAGGATTAAAGAAAACATTCAATGAGATGATTCTGTGGCACTCACAAAACCCTGTACAAATGTGGAGTTCAAATGTATAATATTTAGTTGTGGAATCTGGGCCTAAAAGGGGCGATTGGAGGAGCTCTCTCAAATACCAAAGGGAGGGAAACTGCCAACAGCTCTGCCTGGGCTCTAAGCCATATGACCCTTGCAGAACTGAGAAGCACGAAAGGACACATAAGATCCAGGGCTCAGAGGACGTGGAGGAGCCCCTAGGTGCCCGTCCACCCTGTACTGCCCTCACTCAGTGGAAATAACTCAGCCCCATCACAACAGACCTGCCATTCCAGAAAGTCTCACCTGATTCCAGGGACTTCTGTCTGAACCTCACACAAAAGTTTTCCCTTTTGTGTAAGAATGCATCGTTTTAGAAGCCTATTACTAAGGGATAAAATAACAGTCACTATTACAAAAGTTGATTTGACAAAGCTATTGGTAGAAACCATCAGACTCTTACAAGTGACTAGAGATCTGACAACTCACGTGTGATAGAAGCCTACTTGTTCCAGATCCGAATTCTGTTTATGGTGCAATCCAATGAAGAAAGATATAAGGAGGGGCTGGACCAAAAAGCACACAGCATGCTACCCTTTGCATACAAGACAGAGGAAATACGGAAACATGCATATGTTACTACGGGATGTTCCTGAGGATAAAGCAGAAAATAAGGGACAGGGACAAATGGAGTAGAGGGGATAAGTAGGAGTGGCAGTTCTAAGTATAGCTGTTGTTTTTATAGTTTTGACTTTTAGAATCATGTTAATGTTATATACGTTAAAATGTTTTGAACAGGTATGAGATGGACAGAAAATACCCCTAAAGCAGAAGCAAATTAAGAGACAAATGCATCTGCCCTAGCTGGTTTGGCTCAGTGGAAAGAGCGCCGGCCTGCGGACTGAAGGGTCCGGGGTTCGATTCCAGTCAAGGGCACATGCCTGGGTTGTGGGCTCGATCCCCAGTAGGGGGCGTGGAGGAGGCAGACAATCAATGATTCTCTCTCATCATTGATGTTTCTCTCTCTCCCTCTCACCCTCTCACCCTCCCTCCCCTCCCTTCCTCTGAAATCAATAAAAATATTTATAAAAAGGCAAATGCATCTAATTGTATTTCTTTTTTTAAAAAAATATATTTTATTGATTTTTTTACAGAGAGGAAGGGAGAGGGACAGAGAGCCAGAACCATCGATGAGAGAGAAACATCGATCAGCCGCCTCCTGCACACCCCCCACCGGGGATGTGCCCACAACCAAGGCACATGCCCCCGACTGGAATCGAACCCGGGACCCCCCAGTCCGTAGGCCGACACTCCATCCACTGAGCCAAACCGGTCAGGGCTCTAATTATATTTCAAGTGAAACCATTGCCACACTGAAGGAGAAAGACAAAAGTAATCAAGTAGCTTATGATCATTTGACTGGCACTCAGTCTCGGGCAGGAGGACCAGGGTGAGGGAAGAACTGTCAGTAAGTGCTGAACTCTTTTTAGGACGTTTGCTGGGTTTGGGAAGCAATATGGTCAAAACAATGCTGACGTTATTTCAGATGTATTACAGGACCTGACAAATGAATAAATGTGTCAATGTGGTTGGGAGCCAGGGTTCTCACTGTGGAAGGAGGGATACAGAAATGTGGGAGAAAACCCTCTGGGATGGACTGGAACTGGAGGTATTGGTGTGAATTGATGATCTCTAAATATAAAGGATGCATTTGTGTATGCAAATGCACATATTTCCTCTGTCTATTTAAAGGACCTAGAACCAAAGATACTCAGCAGTTATGAGCACAACGGGCACCCAGATCTTGGTCTCTAATACCGTTTCCTATGAAAAGGAATCAGTAGTCTTTGGTGAAACGGCTGATTCAGGGGCAGGATAGGTACAAGACAAAACAAGTAAAGAAGGTCTTTTAAAAAACACACCCGAAAAATTAAATAAAAACATGATGAGGGCATGCCATAAGGATACAGGAGCCAAAGCAGTGCCTCTCACTGGCCAAATCTGTGATTGTTTGCCCCCCAAAAGTTATTAACTAAGGGTAGTAATGAATTATAAAATATTTTTGAAAATCAGTCCACACTCTT